TGCCTACATCTAGGATGATAATAAAAATAATTAAGTATAAAAAAACAAGAAATAAAAAATTAAATTTCTTATATATAGAAATCTGAAGTCATTTTCAATTTATATAACAATTTTTAAAAATCATTAACAAATTACCGTAACATCATTAAGTGCAGCATTCAACAAGCTGACAGCAAACATTTACAATAACAACTAACAACTTCAATCCTTTCAACAATGAACAAACTCTATAACCTTTCGTGCGTATAAAAATGATAAAGAGTTCATCACGTGTCATTCACATAACTCAAGGACCATACGCAAAAAGCTAATGCAGTGAAACACTCTTATATTCAAAAAAAAAAAAAATCAATGAAATAAAAATATAACTAGATTCTCAAATCAAATCAACCAATGCGTGATTGTATTCAAAATGTCTTAATAATCAAAATAAAGAAAACGACAAGCGTATGCGCTGAGAAAATCAGCATAAACTGATACAATGGAGTACGCCTACCACTCAGGATACACGACAGGATTGTATGTAGTTGGGAAATTGCAACAGACAAAGTAAATAATCAAGATGATGAACTGCAAATGACTTCACATGCCCACACAAAGAAAAAGAAGCTACTCCACTTAGCGGAGTGGGTACAAACGAACTGTCACAGCAGTCACAAAGAGGTGGAAGAACATAAGAGACTGGGCTGCTAGTGAGATATGTATGTTTGTATGTGAAAATCTGTTGAAGATTTTAGTTGAATTGGCAGGCATATTGGATTACAATGGACAGCAGACACGTTGCCTTGACACGTGACACAATATAAATCCAACTAAGTGAATGAACAGAAAAATAAGTAAAATAAAATATAGAAAAAGTAATAATTTTTTATACTTCTTCTATTGAATTTTTCATTTCATTTTCTTTAAAACTTTTTTTATTTATTTCTTTATTTTTTTTTTATTTTAATGTATTTTATTTTTATTTTAATGTATTTTATTTTATTTTATTTTATTTTATTTTATTTTATTTTATTTTATTTTATTTTATTTTATTTTATTTTATTTTATTTTATTTTATTTTATTTCATTTTATTTTAACCAACTAAATTCATTTCATTTCATTTCGTTTCATTTCATTTTACTTTAAATTTTTTTTTTAACTTTTTATAATTTATTTGGTTTCATTTTACGTTATTCTTTTTATTTAAAATTCTTTAAATTAGACTAAAAACTCAAAACCAACTCTAATCCGCGTTTTTAGGTGTGTACGTGTAAGACACGTGTAAAATGTAATGGAAGTAGGTTGATATACACATGTACGTGTATACATACCTATATAACATATATGACCGATTTCTTTATTATTAATAAGCGTAATTAATTAATTGCACAGATTCAGTGAATTATAAAAGAATTAAGGCCAAACAACTCAGCTCAGCAGAGACGACGTCGAACAAAGCCATATATCCTCTGATCCTGTGCGAAGGATAAATGAGCACGAGATGTGTGGTCGAGCATATGAAAACACCTACGTAGGCAAACACACACACACACACACACATTACCATGCTTCATATATGGTTGTATACATATGTAATACATACGTATATATTTACGGCTGCGTACAAACAGGTGTGTTGCCATAGCAACCCGCAAGACAGTGTAATAGCAACAACAACTAATTAGGAGCAGTAAATTAGTAGAGAGAAAATATATTCTGTATTTAAGTGGGAATTATACACAAAATCCTTAAACCACACACACATACACGCACAACACATACAACAAGAGCTTTCATGGTGTGTACATACATACATAACTATGTATGAGTGTGCTCGTGAGAGTCTCTCCAACTCAAAGCTCCTCTGCTTAGTCAACCAACCTCAATGTAGGACGAAGCAAAGGACACTCCTACAGGTGGTCGCATAATGCTGCAAGGATGCTGGCATCACCGGACCTGTACGAGTGTGCACATATACACGTACATATTTATATACATATATGTATATTGGGTTTATCCGTTTGAGTGATGGACTTGTAGGGTGGGTGTGTCAGCTTTAGGGAAGCGTAAAAATTATTGGAGTTGATAAAATTTAATGAGCTGGAAAATGTGTTATGATGTATACACATACGAGTGTATATGTATTATATATACGTGTACATGTGTATATAGATTTTCACACGTATGTGTAAAGTCTTCTCTCATCTACTGTGATTGCTTGTCCCTACAAACATCCAGTCTATCTTCCTCCACAGCGGTGCTAAGCCTTCTAAGCTCCACTTCACTTTCATTTTCATTTCGCACTAGTGAACTGGAATTTTTGCGAATTACCGTTAACAAGGTGGGGACATTAATTCACTTAGCTTCTCGCGATTGATTGCCATTCGCCTTGGTGCTTTCATCCTTTCTAATGCGTCGATATTAACTCTTTAAACGCAACCCCACTACCGCCTGTCTTTAAACGATCTCATTTAATCAATAAGAATCATAACAAACTGAAGGTGTGATGGACTAGGGGAGAGGGGAAGCAGGATATCCGAAAAACGACAACGAAAAGCGTATAGAGGAAACGGAGTGGCGGAGACGGGACATAGAATGCGGAAAAAGAACTTATTCAACCAAATATGAGAACTCTTTAAGGTTTAAAACCAGAATTATCAATATTTATATATATTTCAAATTTACCGTTATATTGTACGTGGCGGTAAAACTCGATGTAATTAATGCGTTACCATGCGCACGGTTTAACCGATTTAAATTTTTTATTTTATTTTTTTGCTTTCTCGTTACAAAGTCTGATTTTTAAAACAAAAAATTTAGCGGTCTAGTTAAAAATGTTTCCAAGAAGGTTGCCATCTGTTCAAAAATTCTAGACAAAAATAAACAAATTATTAGAAAATGGCAAATTCACTAAAACTATTGTAATGGCAATTTAAAAAAAATTGTTAGAAGAGTTGCCACCTGTTGCTAAAAGTTTTTAGCTTCGACAACTTCATTTTTGTGCAACTTCTGCCCTAATTAATATCATGGATGAGGAGTTTTCATTTAACTAAACAATTATTTATCATAACTATTAAGCTACACACTCACGCATGTATATACATACATACATATATACAATAGATTCTTAATATATGAAGTTAACACTCCATGATTATACTCAATAATGCCAGCAATAAAGATATATATTATTATTACAACAATTAATTATCAAACACAATGCCTAGGTGTTCACACATACACATACACACGCACATATATATGTATGTACTTCCAATTAAGATGTATGTATGTATGTACTTTTGTTGTGCAATGAAGCGCAAATCCTTTTTACGCACTCAAACACACACACATAACAACAAGTTTTGAACGCATTGGAGCATCAAGAGCAACAAATTGGAGGTTCGAGAAGAGCAGGAAATAAGAGCATGAAGAATATCGATACACAATTACTGAAGAATATAAATACTCTAAGCTTAAAGGGTTTAAAATTGAATTTAAGAACGTTTTGCATTAAAAGAAAACCAAAAATTTTTAATTTACAAGACAGTTCAGGGAACTACCCTTCAGGCGTCCCAAAGTACAAAAATCTTACATAAAATGACTGTTTTATCATGGTGACTTATACAGTCCATTATTGAGACATCTTTACATCTTCATAAAGTCACCGTTTGGAGGGCTCTATGGACGGAGCACAATGCTTCAAAGAATAGGGAACTCTATAGGGTCTTCATTAATTACTTTTTCTATATTTAGCTGTGCCAGTCTTTTCTATTTGGATTCCCCTTTTTTAACCACTACATCGACTCCTGTTTGTCCTCGGTCTCATACTGACGAATTAAAGCTTCATCGACTGTTACTATGCGGTCGCAAATTTCATCCAAATCATCTTGGCGCAAGAATCCAAAATATCTTTACAACTCTGCAATCGTCGCTCCTTGTCGAGCGGCGTGAGCATACGCGGTACCCAACACGCATTAATTTTTCATGGAAAATCTCTCCAACTCGTTCTTTGTTAAGCCGTTATCCTTCTGCCATCTACCACAATTTAATTCTTCGATCGGCCACTACTAATTTTTCGACTTTCTGAACCTCTTTGACGTCAATGAATTTGACAAAGTTTAAGATGGTCTTGATATCCAGATTATTCAAATTTAATGGGGAATGTTTTTTATCATTCGAAAGAACATTCTTCATTAATTATTTCCTAGAGATTATCTCTTTCAAATGCTGACGCGGCTACGTCTCAGATAATCCATCCGTTGAGTCCAAATTTCAATGACTGGTTCGGGCATTTCGACTGGTAATTGGCGAATCATACGCGTGATGTTTTGATCCCAGGCCTGAATGGATGTGGAATTGTCCGCGTAGATTTTAGACTTTACGTATCCCAACAGAAAAAAGTCTAACGGTGTTGTGATATCACACGATCTTGGTGGCCAAAAATGGCGTGAAAACGGTCGCCATTGACGGTTACGCAGCTCTTGAATCTCTTCTGGTTACTCTTTGACCTAAATGTGACAATTTTTCTTCCCTACATTCCTATTGAGCCAGAAATGAGCCTCATCGCCAAGCTTGATAGAACCCTCTCTTTGTGGCTCGAGACGTCGTATCTTCTTGGAACTTTTCAAGAACCCATAGAGCAAATCGTTGTGGCTTGGGAATGTCGAGCACTTTCAATTGAAGCTCTGAACGTAAAATGAGCCAAGTCGTTCCATATGTCAGTCCAGGTTACTGTGAACGGTGCCGAATTGACTCTCCACGGTCTTGTGTACACCTACGGCCGCTATATTTTGCTATTATTGAGCAGTCTTGTTTTTACTAGGACATTTCTGTTACTTAATAATTTCTAAAACTTAATATTTTCAAATGGGGTTTTCTAAAATTTAGTAAACCCTTTTTCAACCGATTCAAGTTTTCTAAAGTCCATCAGCGACTGCTTGATAGAACTCTCTCTATGGTACATAAAGTTTGTCCGTAAGATTTTCATTATCGTAAAGAGCGATTTTTTACTTACCTTTAAATAATTGGGCACAACTCTCTTAGCAAAACTCCAACTGAAAATAATAAAAAATTGTTCATTTATGATAGGCAAATTCAGAATTTTTTATTAAAAAAATTTAAACTAAATATTTTTCTACAAGGAGGAAGCAGATATGCAAATAATTAAATGAGCCGACGCCAACTGCCGTCACACAATCTGAGGCAGCTCAGACTGTGATGACGTTATGGTTCTGGCTATGTTCGACTACTTTGACTCTAAGGACCTTCGCACTCTAAATAGGCGTAGAGGAGAAGTTTTAGATATAACAATTTGTAATCGTAGTGCAATAAACGTAATATCACAATGGCAGGTCTCTTTATGGAGCACTCTTCCTCTCTGAACACAGATAAGCATAGAGGGCTTTTAGCTTCCGATGTATCGTAACAAGGACAGTACCAATGGAAATGCATCTTTAGCTGTCACTAAACTTATATTCAGGGCCTGAAAACTTGTGTTCCAAATGGAAGATCGATGCAGCAGTTGAGATAATTACAAACAGTATCATCTGCGCAAAGACAGCGAGCTAAGATAGCATAATAAGCTACGGAAGCAAAGTTCGATTCGTGACGTCTCTGCTGCGAACAGGTTGGCAGAACTATTTCCACACCGAGGTTATGCTTAACTGCAAAGGACGCAAGGCCTTAAATTGAGAAAATTTGGTGAAAATCTGTTAATAAATTAGATGCACACTTCAATTGCCCATGGGCTGAGGTTCCTCGACCCCTCTCTTATATGAGAGAGATGGGCTCCTTTTCAACACTGAAATGGCATCATGGGCCTTCAAAGGCTTATACCAGTCAAACCAGCCGGTACTCACGAAATCTTCCCCGTTACAAAACGTATCAAACTTGCTAGCACAATGACCTAGTGGGTGGCAGGAGACCAGGATCATTTTTATCATGAAGCCTTGTAAAGATGTACTGCGTACCCCAAAGTTATCTAGACCAATCAGTCTCCCAATTTGTATGCTGTAAATCGTGAAAAGGGTTTTCGATGACTAAAGCGGCTGTATTTTCGGCAGCACGGGTACATTAAGGGTAAATTAGTTCTTACGGCTCTACCCGTGATAATCGAGGCAATTGAAAAATCGACGGGAGTATACTCTCGCGGCATTGACCCATCAATTGCCTCATTTGTGATCTACAAGACATTACTTGCCGGCAATACAAGAGCTGTTTGCGAATGTGAAATTTGGTCTGCTTGTAGTGGAAACTTAAAGATAATAATTTATGAGGATGATCTTTGAAGTCGTTAATAATTTCGTCTATCTAGGAACCAGCCTTAACGATAATAATAACGTCAGCCTTGAAATCCAGCCCAGAATCACTCTTGCCATCATGTGCTACTTTGGACTGAGTGGGCAATTAGGAAGTAAAATCCTCTCCCGACGAACGAAAACCAATCACCCTCACCAACATCTGATGAGTCGGCGTTAGGAGTTTTCGAGAGAAAGGTTTTGCTTAAGATTTATGATCTTTTGCACGTTGGCAACGGCGAATAGCGCAGACGATGGAACGATGAGCTGTACTTGTTATAGTCGCCTCAATATTCTAGAGAGTTGAGTCCAGCCAACAGCTCTGAAACACATGGCGATAAACAGAGAGTCATAAGAGAACTCGGACTAAACATACTGTGCGAGCCAGGAAAGGAAACCTACTGTCAGATGCAAGCTACCAACTTCTTCCCTAGTATTGTAGAAAAGAATGGGCGGAGGGCAAAACCATCGGTAATACTCAGCATAACATCTATACTGATGGACTCAAATTCGAAGCAGGGGGACATTTAAGGTATACTGATGGGCATCCACACCTAAATTCTAAATGCCAAGGACTGTGCCTCGCGGCACACAGATTTTTGAGCTCTACTTTAAATAGTTTTTGTTTTTCAGTTTTTATTGGCAAATAATGTAGGTTTGTAGGCAACAAAAATGTTATGCATTTGCTGAAAATTCGCTGGGAATCGCCACCTCACGGCAGATAAGGCTCAACTACTAACTGAGACAATGCCTGGCAGGAAGAGGAGTGCGAATGCGAGCATTTCGAGTCAACCGTCAAACATATCAAAAATATGCTCGTGCATGCTACATGTGTATGTATGTATGTACATATATATGTATGTATGTATGTACGTACGTATATTATCTATCAACGCCACACCGCCATAAATGCATATGAAGAACGAACGCAGCTCACTTAATTTGGCTTCCGGTGCCAGGCACTTGCCGTTGGGTAACACCTACATTTTCACCGTTATTTGATTTTGGTATTAGTTTTCAAAAATTCGAATATGCACAATATTCGTAGGTATGTGTGTGTCTGTGTGTGTACATGAAGAAAAGCAATGCAGTAAATTTGTTATGCTGGAAGAGATGGAGCTCATGGAAGTCGCGATAATTTTATTTGCGAAATGTGTTCACCTGAAAGGGGAAGAGGCGTTCGTGTGAGCGTGAAGGAGTAAAAAGTGTATTTTGCAACATGCAATTTATTGCATTTTTTATTATATATATATATATTTTTTTTTTGTACTATTTACCGCTAAATGCTTCAAGCATTGATATGGAAAATCGTTTAGTAAAAATATGTGTTTGGGAATTTCGAATTTTGCCGGCTGAAAAATATTGATAAAATATTGAATTGAATTGAGAATTGTGCTATCAGCATACGTAACCTGCAGCCGCGCAATCACACACATACGTATGTACATACTCGTAAGTATGTAACCTGCATTTGAATTATCAGAAAGCAGGTTAAGCAAAAATAGTTTCACCGCGTGTTTTTCCTTTAATGCTAAATAAATTTTAGTATTTGATATTGTTTTTGAAGTAAAATTTCTTTAGAGAGACTGATTTGCAGTTTTTCTTCAGTGTAAGATCCCAGCAGAGCGAGTCTCAGCCCCACATTGACATAGTTCAGCGAATAAAGAGACGATGACCAGACTACGAAGGCGAGGTAATGTGGCTCAAATGGCTGAGAGCTCTTCAACTTTAAAAGTATTCGATGCAGTACAAGCTGGTTGAAGCAGAGAAATAGGTAGAACTACACTAGGCTGGCGGAATCTGGTGGAGGGGGACATGGTTTTGTCCAAACAGCGAAGAGAATCAACGATTGTTGTCGACTCAATTATAATCGAGTAAGCGGGGCCTAAGCTAATGAAGAATAATAGTAGGAAGAAGAAGAAGTAGAAGAAGAAGAAGGAGAATGAGAAAAGGATATTAATTCGTATTATATGAAAGAAAACAATATTATAGTCTTGCCGCATAGATTAAAAAATTTAACTCAAATTGATGTGAGAAAAAATATTTTGACTTCTTCTTTATCAATAAAATTCCTTAATTAAGAATCCAAAAAAAATGGGTTTTTAATTAAGAAACTTGAGTTTTTTTAAGGATAGCAAACTGAGAAAAAAGTAAGGCAACCTTGCCACCTCTTTTTAATTTTTTTTTTAACAACAAAGGGATGTCAAACTAAGAATGATTTCTGTCGCGAAAGAAGGGTTTTCACCCAATTGAAAGTCTATACAAACGAGGTGTGACAATTAAGTAATGCGACTGATTCCATAAAAACCGTAAATTTCGAAATTATTCTACAACTCTGCCGTCCCCTTGAAAGAAGTCTCCTTAGGCAGCGCTTCTTAACATTTCTGGAACGCTTCGACTGGGAATACCGCGAGTATCCTCGTCACGGCCGCCTGGATGTCCTCAATCGGCTTAAAATGGGTTGCTTTGACCACCGATTTTCTTCTGGGGAACAATAAAAAGTCACCGGGTGACATAACGGGCGACTAAACCGGTTGTTGCAACACGACCAAATACTGGGACACGCTGAGAGCGGTGTGGCACGACGGGTGCAACCTGTTGACTCGCAATCTTTCGTATACTTGGCGATAGTAGACTTGATTTACGGTTTGTCCCTGTAGAAGAAATTCTATGTGGACGATTTCATGGCTATCGAAAAAGGCAATAATCATCGTTTTCTCCTTCGACTTGAGTTGAGTTGAGTTGCGTTGAGCTGATGCGGCTCTTGGTCACTACCAGCGCACTTGAACCCATTGTGTTACCGCTGAGGCTTCTGCCTTCACCTTCTCGATTGATCGAACCATTTCGTGTGCTTTATAAATGGAACGAGATTTCCAATGTTCGCTGAGACCAACTCAGCGAGACAGTCGAAGAAGTGTTTCCCAAGAAACTTGTGTCGCGCAAATGTCAAGGCTGGACAGTGGCAGAGGCAGTGTTCGATGGTCTCCGGCTCTTCTTCATCCCTACAGCCCGTCGCTATGCTAATGGAGAGCCGGTCCAGAAGGATAAGATGTACTTACTCATGCGAGCGTTCTTCGTTTGGAGGGGTGCGGAGACAACCATTGGGAGCTTGGGCGCCACTAAGAGCACTATCACCTTGCACTTTTACATTTTTTCGTGACGAGCACCTCGAACACACATTTACAACACGATACAGCAGGCGAACTAAACATGCTACAGCGATGGCAAATATATAAATGGAGGCAAGAAGGATGACGGGAAAAGGGAATTTCAAGGTTGCAGGGTTACCACAATTGTGGCAATATAATCAGTCTCATTACTTTACTGTCACATCTCGTATTAGAAAATCATCCAGCCTGCCGTTGACTACACATTTACCAATGCCGGAAACTCAAGACTTATAAGAACATCGATCTTCTGTTGTAACTTTTACATCACTTACATTGCGAGACACTTAAGCTGTCAGTGAGCATAATTACGACTCTCAACTCGGAACGTGACAAACTGTAGACTTTTCTGAAGAAAAGGACGCTTTTGAAAAACCAAACACCAAATACAACACACGAGAATCTCGGGGTTACCTGGAGAAAATCTCATAATCTTCAAGCATTTACGGTATAGACAATATAGCGGACTAAACTCATACTTGTAAAGAGTCGACATGGACATCCCTCAGGCAATGATGTACCACACTACAATAACCACAGCTTTGTATAGTCCTGTAGTTCTGGATTAGCTCAAAATCCACCAAACATACG